AAAAAAATAAATTAAAAAAAAAATATATATGAGGGGGCTTTAAAAAGTCTGTGGAAAATTCCATGATCTTTTAAGTCCATTTTTCTATGAACTTTTTGAAGCCCCATTGTATATGTATGCCTGCACACACACATATACACACACATACATACATACAGGATCTTGCAAATGTATGGTGATTTGATATATGGGAAGCATTTTCACTTCCATTTTTTACAACTCTTCCTCACAACTATCTTGTGAAGAAGGAATTACAGGTCAGAGAAGAGAGGCCCTGTGAAGTTAGGGAACTCCAAAGTAAAATGTCTAACAAGTGTTGTTGTTGTTGTTAAGTATCATCAAGTCGATTCCAACTGATAGTGACCCTGTTTAGGATTTCCGAGGAATGACTGGTTTGAACTGCACACCTTGCAATGAGCAGTCGAGTGCTTATCCTACAGTGCCACACCAGGACAGCACATAAGCACATACTACTCAAATCCCAATATTCTGATGGCTAAGTCCAAGACTGTGCTTTCTGTTCTGCAGACCTAACCTTCACTTGGAATCAAAACCAAAAATCTATTAGGCTGAACCATCTGAAATTGCCAGTGCTTAACTGATTTTGATTTGCAGAAACAGCAATTTCACATTATTTGATGCAATGGCTCTCTGAACTGTTCAGCAATGAGTTAATTTGAGTAAAGGAGGCCTCTTGACAAAAGGAAATCGACTTTTCTAGTGAGAAAACGAATTTTGTTTTCCACATCAAATAAGCACCAGATAACTTTCTTCACCTGGCAAAGCTCCTATTTGGCCAGGAAAGGCCCTTCCCTTCTGGAGCGGCTGGGCTCTTAAATGGAACTGTGCTTCTCCACACAGCCAGAAACATCTGCAAACTGAGACAAAACTGCTTTCACACCTCCCTCCTGGACCCCGCTTCCTACCTCAGTCCTTGGGGTCTGGACTTTCACCATGGAAACTTCTGGGGCATCACAGTTGTTTCCCATGGGGTGGGCAAGGGGGTATCTTTATCATCTCCTGTTTGTTTCTTCTTTCCCATGTTCTTTTCAGTTGCACTTGTTCCCCTCCCCCAAACTCTTCTTGGAGAGGAGGAGGGTAAGAGAAGGGAGGTTAGTATTTCCTTCCCCTATGGAAAGGAATTGGGGCAGGGGGAGGGGGCATGGAGGAGGCAGAATCCAGAGGAAAATCTGTGTCTGGGGAAAGATGTGGCACTGATAGAGAATGACCCATTTAAAAGGGGCCTGTGTGAGGCAGCCCCGGGCCCCAGATTTCAGCAGCCTGAGCTGGGTGTGTAAACACAGCCAAGCCGGCTCTCAGACCCCCACAGGCTCTGACACCTGCAGTAGCTTTCCAAGATCTCACTTTGAGTTGCTGAAATTCAAGCAAGTGCAGTGGATCCAAGCAAAATCAACACACAGGGAAGCAGCAGTCAAGAAATTATACAACATATTGCATGAGGCAAATCTGCTGCACGAGACCTCTTGAAAGTGTCGAAGAGCATAGATGTCTTTTGAGGACTAGGGTGGCCCTGACCCAAGCCATGGGATTTTCAATAGCTTCACATGCATGTGAAAGTTGGACAGTGAATAAGGAAGACCGTAGAAGAACGGATTCATTTGAGTTATGGTGTTAGAGAAGAAAGTACCACGGACTGCCAGAAGAACAAATAAATCTGTGTTGGAATAAGTACAGCCAGAATGCTCCTTTAGAAGCCAGGATGGTGAAACTTCATCTCTCCTACATCAGGCATAGTATCAGGAGGCAGTATTCCCTAGAGATGAACAGCCTGATTTAAGAGTGAAGCGTCAGTGAAAAGGATTAAGAGATGAGCACAGAAGCAGCAGCCATAGTTCAAGCGCAACTATCGTGGGGATGGCGGGGCTGAGCAGTGTTCTGTTCTGTTGTGTAGAGGGTCCCTATGATTCAATGGCAACTACCAACAACAGCAGTCAGCCAGTGTCTGTCTGTGTGCATCTCTCCCTCCTGTACTCTCTCTCCATCAATGGTGGAAAGAAAAGGAATGGGCTTGAGGAGTGAAGCAGGTGAGAGCAGTAATAATGAGGAGGAGTTCTGGAATTCCACAACTCCAAAAACTGCTGTAACTGAGCATTTACACACCTGCCAGGTGGGTGATGATGGTGATGGAAGACGGAAGTGGAGAAGAGAGGACCCTAATGAGTATTATGTCTTTCCTGGACTTCCTTCTATCACCAAAGTAGAGTGGGCACCACCTACCATGTGCCTCACCCTATACTTGGGGAAACAGATGAGTAAGTCCTGGGTACTGCCAGGAGGCTCCAGGTCAGTATGGGCATTAGATCAGGTTAGCTAAGTATCTCCAGAGACTCCTCCTCCAGCCTCCAGCTTTCCTTCAAGACAAGGACTCTGGCCTCCTCTAAGATTATCAGATTAACTCAGATTTCTTGTTTTGGCCACTCGGTCTCTATTCTGAGCCCACCCTGCCTCTTCTGTGAGGAGTCAGGAATTCATTAAGTTAATATTTATACTAAGCAATTATTTTTTGTTTTATCTAGTTTATCATCCATTTCACAGATATAGAAATGAAGGCACCAAGAAATTAATTAAATATTTTGCCCAAAGTCATCCTTTAGGAAGTGAAGTAATGGGGATTCAGATCCAGGCTGATCAACTCCACAGCTCATAATCTTACAGAAAAGGTAAAGAAAGAGTGAGACATGGAACAACAACAAACTACCATTGTGAGACGCCGGTGGACAGGAGCCACACTTGGATGGTTGTCAGAAGATGTGAGTTCAAGTCTCAGTTTTGGCACAAACTTTGGACAGCTCATTTGACCTCTCAGAGTCTCCTTTGGTATTTGAAGATTTTGATAAGATGCTCTCTGAAGTAGCACTGGTGTCATGCTGTGGGTTAATGCGCTGGACTGCAAAGTCAGTTTAAATCACAAGGTTGGCGGTTCAGGCTCATCAGTCGCTCCTAGGAAACCCTATACAGGGTCACCATGGGTCAGAACTGAGTCGATGGCACTTAACAACAACAACAACAACAACAAAAAGGTCAGTTTAAACTGCAACGGTAGTCGTTCAAATCTGCCAGGCATTCCTTGGAAACCCTAAACAGGGTCTCTATGAGTTGGAACCGATTTGATGGCACTTAACAACAACAAAGGAGCTCTGGTAGCGTAGTGGGTACGAATCGGGCTGCGAACATTAAGGTCAGCGGTTCGAAACTACCAGCCGCTCCGCGGGAGAAAGATGAGGCTTTCTACTCCCGTAAGGATTTACACCCTCGGAAACCCTGTACAGGGTCGCTATGGGTCGGAACCGACTCGACGGCACTTAACAACAATGACACCAACAACAACAACAAAGGTCCTTTTACTTTCAATAATCTATAACAGATCATAAATGACAACGGCCTAGGGCCTAGTAAAGAAGAATTTAAACACTTGAAGTTACTGAATGGGAATGACATAGAGTAAGGAGATGGGCACCTTCATAAGAGAAGCCATGACTGGAGAAAATATGAATGGTGTATGGAAGGTACCCATGTGAAACAGGACTGCAGAGAGTGGAGAATCTGTGAACTCAGCCCCTGGCCAGATCTGCCAGGCGCTTGGCAGGTCTGCACTGGAGAGGAGGTGGATGAGAATCCAAAGCCCAACTTCAAAGGATTGATGCCCAGACCCAGGGACCACAGAGGAGAGGCAACAGAGATATGCTGGGACCAGGAGGGGCTCACCATCACGATGTTGGCCAGATGGGCAGAGACAAGTGCGTACACCCCTCCAGAGGAGCCAACGACTGGCGCGGTCATGTCAGCCACAGACACCGCCAAGGACCCTGGTATAGAAAGAAATAGAGAATTCCCAAGAGGGCTGGCATCAGCCTCCTCATCCCAGCCCTAGGTCCTCATTCATGTAGGTACAAAATTACTTTCATACCTCCCTCCTAGACACCTACTCCTTGGCCTTATCTGATGTTGGGGCTAACCATATCATGATGTTGGTGGAGCTTCAGGGCTAAGACTCTAGAGGAAGAGGCTCCATCTCCCTCTTTTGATTGCAAGTCACCTTGGAACTCATTGGGGATCCCACAGAGGAAGGATTAATCTATGGCTGAACGAACCATTTGATTTAAGCTTCTCATTTTACAGATGGGAAACAAAGAAGGGAGGTGACTTGCCCAAAGTAGAACTCAGACTACATTATCTTCTGCCTCTCAATCCAGCCTCTGCCTGACACTATACCATTTCAAGACTTGAAGCAATAATGAAAACAGTAGCAGTAATGATTGCAGAGAAGTCCATGGGTGGTTAATGAGTGCTTGGCTGCTAACGAAAAGAGTGGAAGTTAGAGTCTATCCACACGCATCCTGGAAGAAAGGTCTTGCAATCTATTTTTGGAAAAAAAAAAAAAAAATCAGCCACTGAAACTCCACAGAGCATAGTTATACTCTGACACACAAAGGTAACTCCATGTTGTTGTTGTTATGTGCCGTGGAGTCAGTTCCTACTCATAGAGCCCCTGTACAGGGTTTTTGAGGCTGTAAATCTTTACGGGAGCAGAAAGCCTCATCTTTTTCCCGTGGAACAGCTGGTAGTTTTGAACTGCTAACCTTGCGGTTTGTAGCCTGACGAGTGACCACTATGCTACCAGAGCTCCTTTGGATAACTCCACAGAGCACAGTTATACTCTGACACACAAGGGGTTGCCATGAATTGGAAGGACTGCAAGGCAACTGGTCAAGTTATTGCAGAAATAACTGCCATTTATTGGGTAATGTGTGTTAGAAACTTTAGGTACATTTTCACCTTTACCCCTAAGGCAATCCTTTGCAGCAGGTACTAGTTGTCCCATTGCACAAATGAGGAAACTGAGCCCAGTGTCACCTGATCAGAAGCATTGGGACCAGGACTTGAGTCCAGGTCCGGGTCTGCCTGTCATGATGCCGGTGCTTTATACTTTTTGCTTCTGCAGTAGCTTCTCCCCTAACAGGTACAGAGGCAGGGCTTTGATGATGTGAAACTGGAATTGACCCAAATTTGTAAAACATGGGTGTACCTGGCTGGTTGCTGTGTGCCGTGGAGTCGGTTCTGACTCAAAGAGAACCTGCACAGGGTTTCCGAAGCTGTACCAGAACAGGAAAAATCATAATTTGATGCCCTACTAAAATGGAATCTCCCTCTTAGAAAACAAGGGTGGTGTGCATGTTGCATCGCAACCAAGTCCCTTGAACAGCAGAGTCAGGAACATCAGTGTCCAGCTCAGAGATGCCCACTGAACACATAGCTTTGAATGTACAATGCTCTTCACAGCCCTGGTTCTAATGCAATGTCACACATTAGGATCCTGAAAGGGTTCACAGCATCTCTCTCGAGTCTCCCACTCCAGGGCTTTGACCCATACTTTTCCCCATTCTGCTTATGGTTCGGGCACACCTGTGATTTTACAGATTCGAATCTATTCCGATTTTGCTGAGAACCATGACTGAACCGGTTCAAACCAGTTTGAGCCTCCACTTTCTACCGTTCCTCATCAGCTTAGCTGGTGGTGATCTAGAAATCAGCTGAGATCACCTCCAGCTGAGCTAAGTCAGCGGTATCTCCCAAGTGGGGCTCCTTTGGAGGAAAAAATGTCTTTGAAAAGTCAGGAGAAGAGAAAGGGAGAGAGATGATGTCACTCCCCCTGGGGAAAGGAAGAGTGTGTGACTCTCCATCTGGGGATGACAAGCGCTTGTCCTGGGAGGGCGCAGGGCAGAGAGGAGATGGGAAATTTATTGTTCTGGTCTTATTTCAGTGTGATCAATGGTTTGGTTTCCAGGGAAGGACGGGGAGACTAAAAATAACTGGGAGGTAGAGCCCAGGGCCAGGCGAATGAGAGATGGCTGGCGGGGTGAGTGTGCAGAAACTGCTGCTGGAAACTGCCCGCAGGCTCCTGAGCCAATTAGTCCCTGCCTGGGTGAAGAGCGAGGGACAGGCAAAAGGCCAAATTCTGCAGGTTCTGTGGGGGTGGAGAGTCCAAGAACAACCCTGGGCCTGGAGCCTCCATATTCCAGAACATCCTCCTCCCCCCCAAGGTACCTCCACTCACTAGGCTCCTTCAAGGAAGAGATCTCCACAGAATGGGGGAATCTCTCAGAAAACAACCTATCCTGAACAGAGAACCTCCGAGTCCTTCTCCCCTCCCGGAGTAGCTATAAATCTTTCTTCTCCCCTTTCATGCCTTCCCTCTGGTTTTAATTAGGTATTGATCTATTGTCAGATGACGTGCTTTTTTTACACTGCCTAGCCATGGGGTCAGACATATATAACAGAGGGGGTAAAAAAATCCCAGGGTGGCAAACAAACACGCACCGGGATCTGCATGACAAAGGATTCCCACGCTCTCAGGGAAGGCGGACTGTCTGGGAGCACTGCATTGCAGGGTTGTGTAGGGCTGGCGCCCAAGCCCTGCTCATTAATTACCGTTGGGACAGAGGAAATCGCAGCTCCCTGGGCTGGCCTCTTTCCTCTGTGCAAGTCCCCACAATCCGCCCAGCCTTCATGCCCTGTCCTTCCCCAGGGTGATGGGCAGAGAGGCATCCAGGCAGCCCCAGGGCAGGGGGCGCCTGGGCCAGGGGTCAAGCCTGCACACACTGACCTTTCCCTCACCCTGCCCATGGTTCCAAGTCCTGACCTCAGAACCAGGGGACAGCTTGCAATTCTGGTTGGAAGTAGTGAATGGGGGCGTGTCTGGCTAGTTGTGTGACCTCCAATTGTTTGAAACTCACTTTCCACATCTGTGAAATGATGAGGTCTAAGAGTTTCCAACGTTTGAGCAGCGGAGACCCTCTTTTTAAAGGAAACCTGACCCAGAACCCTAGTCCAGTGAGCTGAGACAATGAACCACTCTAGCTGACAAGGGGTGGGGTGTGGGGAGCATCTACCAGAGGGAACTCCAAAGATGCATTTCAGATCTGAAATTCAACAAACAGACTTGACCTAAGACCCAGAGTTTGAACATGGTTCTAGAATCTTGTTGTTGTTAAGCGCCGTCGAGTCGGTACCGACCCATAGCGACCCTGTACAGGGTTTCCGAGGCTGTAAATCTTTACGGGAGCAGAAAGCCTCATCTTTCTCCTGCGGAGCGGCTGGTAGTTTCGAACTGCTGACCTTGCGGTTTGCAGCCTGATTCGTAACCACTACACTACCAGAGCTGACCTTCTAGGGGATGATAATTTAGACATTTGTGGTATAAAGACTTTCCTCATTACTTAAGATTAGTCCCAGACTGAGTAAGCTATTGTTACATGCCGTCAGTAGGTTCCAACCCATGGAGACCCTGCATAGCGTTTCTGAGGAGCAGCTGGTGAGCTTGAACCACAGAATTTGTAGTTCAAACCAACTTTGCAGATGAGCGCATTAATCCACAGCATCACACCATATACAACCATAGGGATGTATGCCCCCCTAACCCTCCCCAAATACATATATATTGTTGCTGTTGTTATGTGCCATGGAGTTGGTTCCGACTCATAGTGACCAGGGTTTCTGAGGCTGTAAATCTTTACGGGAGCAGAAAGCCTCATCTTTCTCCTGCAGAACAGCTGGTAGTTTCAAACTGCCGACCCTGAGGTTAGCAGCCCGATTTGTAACCACTACACTACCAGAGCTCCATATATACATATATATATATGCTGTTAAGTGCCATTGAGTCGGTTCCAAACCATAGTGACCCTGTATAGGGTTTCCAAAGAATGGCTGGTGAGCTTGAACTGCTGCAGTTAAAACCGACATTGTAGCCCAGTACATTAACCCATAGCGCCACACCAGAAACCCATGGTGGTTATGTGCTGTGGAGTCGGTTCTGACTTAGAGCAACCCTGTACAGGGTTTCCGAGGCTGTAAATCTTGACGGGAGCAGAAAGCCTCATCTTTCTCCCACGGAACAGCTGGTAGTTTCGAACTATTGACCTTGCAGTTTGCAGCCCGACATGTAACCACTATGCTACCATATATAAATATGTATATATGTAACTAATAAAAAGATCCGGCAGAGGAGATCCCAGGGCAAGACATGTGGGCCAGGCAGGACTTCTTCCCAGGCTGTGATGAACCCAGTGGATGGCTGTTCCATAGGCCACTGTGAAGGCCATGGAGGTAGTAGAAGGCAGAGAAAGGAGAGAAAAAAGTCACGCTACTTCTGGTTAGGGCTACGAACATTCTTCCCCGCGCCCCCCTTGGAAATTCTGGGTCTACGCCAGCTCATAGATAAGTTGGTGACTCTTCCATAATGCAATTGTGGGATCATTTTTAGCCTAGAAAATTTTAAAGAGGTGCTCTCTAACATCTCCCTTGGCCAAATAAATCAATCAATCAACATCTGAAGAACACCTAACTTTAAGCCATGCGACTTTAATTTATTTATGTAGTTTTTAATTTATCCTGTAATCATTTATTGCCTAACATGTAACAAGCAGTCCTAGGGTGGAACTGCGGGTTAATGAGCTAAACTGCAAGGTCAGTTTGAACCGAAAGGTCGGTGGTTCAAGCAGAGTAGCTGCTTCTAGGAAACTCTATACAGGGTCACTATGAGTTGGAACTGACTCAACAACAACAACAACATGTAATAAGACTCCTGAGTGCTGTAAGCGATTTGCTCTTGGTTACTAACCTAAACTCTATACAGGGTCGCTAAGAGTCGGAATCAACTAGATGGCACTTAACAACTAACCTAAAGGTGGGTGTTTCAAACCCACCCACTGACTGTGCAAAAGAGAGGTCTGGAGATCTACTTCCATAAAGATTGCTGGTGGTGGTGTGCCGGGGAGTCGGTTCTGACCCAAAGCGACTCTGCACAGTGTTTTCAAGGCTGTAAATGTTTATGGGAGCAGAAAGCCTCATCTTTCTCCTCCGGATCAGCTGGTAGTTTCGAACTGCTGACGTTAAGGTTCACAGCCTGATTCGTAACCACTATGCTACCAGAGCTCCATAAAGACTATAGCTAAGAAAATCTTATGCACAGTTGTACCCTGTAACACATGGGGTCGCCATGTGTCAGAATCAACAGGAAGGCAATGGGTTTAGTTTGTAACATGTGCTAGGCTGTTCTGGGGATAATACATGTAACTTGTCATCATGTTGGGTTCCTGAAGTATTTAATATACTTGTTTTTAACATACTTGTTAGCTATTGATTGTTAACCACAGTGAGCAGAACAGTGGCCTCGAACACAGGTTAAAGCATAGGGCTTAGAGGCTAGATGTGGGAAGGGACGGTTTGCCCCCAGTTCTAACACTTCTTTGCTGGGCAAATGGCAACTCCCATGTGCAGAATAGAACTGTGATCCATAGCCTTCTCGGAAGTCTTTCTTCTGAGCTACTCTAGGTGGGTTTGAATTACCAACCTTCCTGTTAACAGATGAGCAGTTAGCCACCCAGGGGCTCCTACTGGATAATCAAAATATCAAACCAAACCACCGAATCAATTTCAATCCTTGGCATCCCCACGTAGGTCAAAGTAAAACTGCTCTGTAGAATGTTCACGGCTGTGCCCTTTTAGAAGCAGATTGCCATGGCATTCTTCCATGGTGCTTCTGGAGGAGTTGGAACCTCTGACCTTTCAGTTAGTTTTCAAGCGCTTCACCCATTGCTCCATCCAGGGAGTGAGTGCTCCATGAAGAATGCAGGCTACCTAATCAGGGTCTGCCTGTCTGGAAATGGTAGGCATGAGTGTGCATTGGAGAGGGAGGCAGGAGTGGGCAGAGCAGCCAGATCAATCAGCTCAATCCTGGTGATCAATGGTCAATGACATGATAGGTTGTGGCCAGATGCCCTCTGGTCGGAATCAATCACTCATACCGAACAGCACTCGTCATCTGCCTTACAAAGGCTCACAGCCCACACCCTCACATTTAGCTGATGAACGGCTTCTGTCTGAGGCCCAGGCCTTACTGGGAAGTGCATGCCTACACTGGCTTCCCAGCGAGACTCACTGCTCTGGGCAAGTTATTTTATATTTTATTTCTGTCTTCGGAGTTCTTGGCAATTCCATCTAATTGAATACTAATGCATGTGTTACAAGCATCTTCCTGTTCCTCACCATGAAACATCTGGATCTCTTGGTGTCTAACCTGTGGAAAATGCAGCAATATATCCCCAAATGTCAGTAATGTTTGTGTGTGTGTTTGAGTGTGTGTGGAGCAGGGGATGGCTGTGCAAGCCTGGCACTTAGAAACGCTCTTAGAGCTTTGTTCAAGGGCATGGTAGGTGCTGGATTCTGGTGGAGACTTGACTGGGTGGTGTCCGAGGAAGCTAACATTTTATAACCTCAGCACAGAGAGGAACCTACCTGACTGAGGGTTGACAAGCTAGCAGACCAGCTTTGTGTAGGTAGGACCCTTCCCTTTGATTCCTGAAACCACTTCAGTTATGCCTAGAGTCCCTGACTGCCTGCTATTTACAAGACTGGCGCTGCCCCTCTCTCCTGATGACAACTTTAATGCCACTCAGAAAGGATTAAGATCTTACTTAAACATACACCCAAAGCTCCCTTGGGCACCGCTGTCAAGCTGAAGAGCTGAGGTGGCAAATGTTGTAAAAAAAAAAAGCCAGCAGTGAAGTTGGAAGCATCATGAGAAGGCCTGATGTTCAGAAGCTGGGTTGGTGCTGGCTTTTGCTGCAGAAATCTGCTCCTCTCTCCTCACCTCCCACTGGATTGGGGGAGGGAGTGAGGGAAGGGGTGGCAGGAAGGTGCCTTGGCCACAATCTGCCAGCCATGCCACAATCACCTGCCACAGACAAGGCCCTAAACGCCTCCAGCCGGGGTGAGTGCTCATTAACTCTCAGCCCAGCCTCCCTCTCCTGTAGGCTAAACCAATGGGACAATAGCTCACTGGGTAGATGTAGAGGTGCTATATGTCTGAGTCCAGGGGCTACCTGGCCAGGGAGGAACCTGGCTCCCCCTACACTTTTCATGTCCCTACACTGATGCCACCAGCCGTTTATGCAGGTCTGTTATTCCCATGTGCTACCTGACGCGCCAACTTCCCAACAGTTCTCCCAACAGACAAGTGCCATTAATGCCATCTTAAAGCTTAATAGGGCCAAAAGAGGGTAAGGAATGTCCCCAAGATCACACAGCTGTCAGAGTGGAGACTGAAACCCCATCAGTTAACCAGGTCCCACGCCTCCCTTTGTCATCAAGCTAACAGTCCCTTTCCAGCCTCCCAGGATTGGGGGGTGGGGTTTGCCTCGAAGGACATATGCTCTAGGTATGGGGGCCCCAGCCTACCTGCCACAACGCCGGCCACATAGAGCAGCCCGATGCGGGTGGCTCCATGCACCATCTCCAGGGGCACCCCCACCAGCAGCTGCAGCACCACGTTGAGTCCCAGGTGTTCTACCCTATGACAGAGAGGCCACATTCATTCATTCATTCATTCAACAAACACCATCTGTTCCAGCAGTGTGAACAAACTCAACCCTGCCTTAGAGGAGCTCACAGAACAATGGAGGGAAGGTGCATAAGCAGGCAAGTGCAGAGAGAAAATCTTGGGATGAGCATGCCTTCCACACCCTCTTTGCCAGTCAGGACACGGCTGGGCAGTGACTGGCATAGTGAGAGAGACTAGTCCCAATCAATACAGCATCTCCATTGGTGGACCCGTGAGTAGTTCAGAGAGGAGCAGTGACTGGTTTAAGTCATACAGCTGGCGAGTGGCCAGGCGGGGACCACAGCCCAGGCCCTCTGTTCTGCCTGACCCACTCTTTTCACCAGGCCACACAATCCTTCTGCCTCTCCAATGTCTTTACAAGAGCTACTGATAGATACTCAGAGATATTTTCAAAACAAGTGCAGGCAATTGGGATGTCTCTTGTTTGTCAATAATTCAACATCGCCCCTGAAAATTTCCCATGTGTGCAAATAGGGAGGCTTCTCCTTCCTGGTGTGGAGAGGGTCTCTTCTGTCCCTAAACTCTCCGGGTTGAGAGATGGGACGTTTTCTTACCCTGTGATTGTTCTACTATAACCAGATCTTGTTGCTAAACGTATGGCATGTCTAGCTGAGTGCATGCACACTACCAGAAAAGATCGTGACATGACTATTATTAAGTCTAAGTGGTGCTTTCCAGTTTCCAAAGCATGTGAACACCCATTATCTCATTAAAACTGAGCTTACAGCAACTAGGCGGTTTCCTGGTAAGGCTCAAGCTATGGGGTATTAGAGCAAGTAGCAAGGGGCTGAGACGCCAGTCTGATACACAGTCCTGCTCCTGGCCTGCAGGGCCCTGAGTGAGGCCCAACTGCAGCGCTACCTCGAGGACACGTGCTTCTGGTCTCAAATTCCCACCACAGCTGGCATCTTCCACCGAGCTGAGGTATGGTAGCATCAGACTCACAGAGCCCGTTGGAGTTTTCTGGTCCTTGTCCTTTGTTTCACAGTCTCAGAAGCTGAAACTAGGTGAAGCCAAGTGAGGAGGACACCACGCTCCTGCCATCCACACCTAAGCTCTTTCTCTTCCACCACAATGACTTCTGAACTTCCAGGCCTAAAGTGTGTCTCTGAGGGTGTCGCTTTGCTGGGCCCTCCCTAGATGCTGGCCAACTGCCCCTATCTCCTGTCCGCTCCTGTTTCTGTTGTACCAAAGCACAGACCTGGAGACTTCCCAGCAGGCACTGTCCCATCGGAAGCAACTGCCAAAAAACGCCCAAGGCCACCCCAACTGGTCTCCACATCAACCTCTTGGCTTTCAGTCCCAGGAAGCAAAGAATGGAACAAGAAAGTTTTGGCCCTACTCCTTTCATACCTCAAGAATCAGGAAATGCCAGAGGCCAGGCCTAGAAGTAGGGTTGTTGTTGTTGTTGTTAAGTGCCGTCGAGTCAGTTCCGACCCATAGCGACCCTGTAGGCAGCTATAAACCAGGCACAGACACAAACTGGAGCTGCCAGGGCACGGAAGCCCCCGGTTTTGCCATTCCAGAATCTTGGCTTAGAAGGAGACTTAAGTGTGAGACAACCACTCCTCCCTACTCTGCTCCCTAGTCCTGAGAGACCCAAATCTAGGGACACACTGGGCAGGGGAGATGGCCCTATTGATTGTTCCTATTGGCCAAGTGGGAGATGTTCTCGGAAATCACAGAGATGTCGCTTCAAGTCCAAGAACCTACCCAGCTGGTGTAACTAATCAGAAGTTGGCTCCTAGACTCACTTCAGGATCTCAGCAGAATGGAGCCTCAGTAGAGCTCCCTGTTGGCCACTGTGGGTCTTTCTGCTGAGGAGTGTGAATGACGGAGCTCACTGACCAGAGTAATCTCATTCCCATTTTCAACTCCAGGATCAGGTACCTCCAGGGCATTCCCACACTTACAGTGAGCTCTTCCACTTTTCTGGAAAGGCGATAGAAGGCGTCACACAGAGGCCTGGGGTCCTAGGACCTGACTTTCCCCACTCAGTGGCTCTACTACATCAAAACAGTCTCTAGCCAAGTTTGTGGCTCTGCAAGGGACTGAGTGTGAGTGACTGGCTGGCTACTAGGTTCTCATCATGGAATTGGGGAGGAGGCACCAGGGAGAACTGATTGTGTTCCAACCCTGAAAGAGGCCACAAAACTCTGCAAACAGACACTGTAAATACTCTTAGAGTTCCCCAAGAAGACCCTCACCATATGTGAAGACCACCTTGGGAGGAAAGTGATTTCAACACCTCAATCCTTTTTTTTTCACTTATATAGCTACGGACAGTGAATTGGGCAGTTGACCACATTTCTCTCTTTGCTTTGGCCACTGGGAAGCTCAGAACAAATTTGCAACCTACCACTAGCTTGTGTGAACTTTCACAACAATCACATGCCCTGTATGAGAGGGCTTCAAAATTTTTGAGGGAAAATAGAATGTAAGGATAATGGAATTTTTCACAAACTTTTTGAAGCCCCCTCATATGTATGTGCTGGTTTCACTGCTGGCTTTTAGCATTTTCCTTTCCGCCCACACCTCCCCCACCTCCCCCACCACCACCATATTTTCTCTGTTCCAAGTTACTCTCAATAATTTATGTGTCTATTTTGGTATTGGATGAATCTCAAGGAGCCACTTCAAAACCTGTATCCAGGTTGTTGTAGTTTTCATGGTGTGCCATCGAGTCATTTCTGACTCATAGCAACTTTGCATAGAGTTTCTAAGAGTGGCTGGTGGGTCTGAATTGCCAACTTTGTAGTTACCAGTCTAATGCTTACACTATAGTACCATATTGGGTAGACAAGAGTAAAATCTAGACTTAGATATAAACGTTTATGTATATGTATCAAAAGTAGATTTCAACCCAGATTATGTAGACCATGTATTTTTCTGTAGGGACTCTTGATAGAAAGAACACAGATACTCACCCCGCATGCATGAAGATGTATGTCAGGTAGCGCCAAGCCTGTGCTCGGAGCTGCGGGTGGTAAACCAGTGCATTCTTCAGGTAACGCGGATGGGTTACCTGCAGCACAAATTGATCCAGCGACACTCCATTGTAGAGGAAAAAGGCAACCTGGATGAGGTCAAAGAATGAAAAGAACCTTTACAGAAGTAGAGAGCCAGGTTTGAAACTGCTAAGGAGCCTCTCACATGCTGACGAACACATATGACCCCTACAGGAAACTGTTCATCACTTAATCTTCCCTAAAAGTGAGGGGCACTCCCAAGACCAGCACCCAATTGACCCTTCAACCTTCTCTTCTCCCACTCATGTTTGATCAACAAATCACAAAACGGTCACCTGGTCTCTTTGCTCACACTTCCTTGGTGCTAAACAGGAAGAGACTGGAGGGTTTTAAGCTTTTATTTCAGTAACAATTCACTCACCCAGCTGGGGGATGAGGCAGTCCACATACGGGGATTTTGCTAGTGATTGAAGCATACTTATTAAGTCCTAAAGGAGTACTTATTTTAACTTTTTGTCTGGAAACCATTCTAAAATGTATCATCCATTTCCTTGAATTCTTTAAAAGGATATATATACATATATGTGTATGTATACCTATTACCGTTTAAAGATGTCCTAAGAGTGTTCTCTCCAGCATCAAAGTATAAGAAGTTTTCTTTCCTGCACTTAATGACCCCAGACTTGTGATTCTTCAAGACTTGGGTCTGCTTTTAGAGTTCCTTTTGTCCTTCCCCTTGGTGCAAGGTTGTCAGCTGTTACTTCTTATTGCTTATTGGTTGTTGCTGTTAAGTGCCGTTGAGTCACTTCCGACCCATAGCGACCCTGTATAGGTTTTCTGAGGAGCAGCTGGTGAGCTTGAACCGCTGACCTTGAGGTTCAAACCGACTTTGCAGTCCAGCGCATTAATCAATAGCGCCACACCCACATGTCCTTCCTAACTCTTTATCCTTATGAAATCAGAAATTCAGGTTATTCGAACTATATATAAAGCAAAAAGTCTTGGGCTTTAGTACGTACAAACAAAACAATAACAACTAACATGCCTGTGGCCACTGAGTTGATTTCATCTCCTGGTGACCCCATGTGTTGCAGAATAGAATTGCTCCACGTGTCGCAGAATAGAACTCCACAGAATGTTTTTGGCCGCAATCTTTGCAGAAGTAAAGAGCCAGGCCTTTCTTTCACAGCACTACTGCATGGGTTCGAACTACCAACTTGTCTAGTGGTGGTGGTTATGTGCTGTGGAGCCGGTTCTGACTCATAGTGACCCTGTACAGAGTTTCCGAGGCTGTAAATCTTTACAGGAGAAGAAAGCCTCATCTTTCTCCCGCAGAACAGCTGGTAGTTTCTAACTGCTGACCTTGCAATGTGCAAACTATTTGCACCACCCAAGGACCTTGGCTTTAGTTACAAGAGCTTTGAGATAGTTACTTCTGCTAGTTGAACATTTTTTGGTTTCCTCTAGATTGGTGGTTCAACTTTGCATAGTTGAAGTTTCTAGAAATTCTAAAGCACTCTGTAGTTGGACAATCAGGACACAAAACCTAGCTCCTCAGGACGACCTAGGGCAAATTATTTGCATTTCTTGGTCCTTATTTTCCTCATCTGGAAATGGGAATACTAACAGCTGCATTTCCAGAGTTATCATGTGTGAAAAGTGAAGTACATGAAAAACCAGCTCCATGCCTGGCACACTCAGCGAATATAGCTATAATTGTTATTGTTAAGTGCCGGCGAGTCAGTTCCAACTCCTGGCAATCCTGTATAGGATTTCTGAGGCTGTAAGTCTTTGCGGAAGCAGAAAGCCTCATCTTCCTCCTGCAACAGCTATAATTAGTGGCGGGTTAAACCTCCTGGTGCTAAACCTGGGTATGGCTCAGGACCTCTGACAGCTGGACTCCCTTGAGCTCTCCGGGGATCCGTTCTGTCCACCAGACAATATGTGGGTGGCCTGGCAGCAAATACAGCTTCCAAGGCATCTCGTTATTATTGGTTCTCAAATAGAAGTTAATAAATAGACCCGCACAGTAAGTTCTTTAGAACAAATCCAAGAATATCTCAGAAAATCGCCCCTTCAAAACATGCACTTGGATGAAGCCATAACAACAAACAGAGGATATTCTGATGTGAAAGGAGAAGGATGTCATGCGGCTGAACCATTCTGCCGTTTGATTCGGCAGGAACTTTGCAAGGACATATGCAGAGGTGGTAATTAAACCCTTGGCTCCAAAAGAGAAACGGTGGAGATCAGAAAACACTAAAGGGAAGTCAAGCATACATTCAGGATTTGAGTTGGGAGGGCTACAGGTTCTTGGGCTGAACACTCAAAAGAATTCAGAGCTCATCTCAGAAAGGCACCAATTCTGTAACTGGTATCTTTGGATTTTTGTTATATAAGCAGGAGACTTTTAGCATCACAATAGGTATGAATGATTCCCTAAGGGGAGAATGTTTTTTTTAAAAATATGTTAAGGCCATATTTACCTGTTCATAAACAATCTCATATGTAAGGGGCTTCAAAAAGTTTGTGGAAAAAAATCCATTATTCCTTAGCTCCATTTTTCCACGAACTTTTTGAATCCCTGCGTATGTATACATGTTGTTGTTGTTAAGTGCTGTCGAGTCGGTTCCAACTCATAGTGATCCTGTATAGGGTTTTTGAGGAGCAGATGGTGAGTTTGAATTGCCAACCTTGAGGTTGAGAGCTTATCCTACAGCGCCACACCATAATTTGTGGAGTCCCTTGCTTTTAATGACCACTATTTAATCTTCTCAAGTGGGTATTGTGATTGGCTGCTAGCTTAAAGGCTCGAGGTTCAAAGCTACTCAGGGGTGGCTGAGAATAAAGAAAGAGCTGGTGATCTACTCCTGAAAAATCAGCCACTGAAAACATGATGGAGGACAGTTCTAACGACACACAAGGGGTCACCATGGGTCAGAATCAACTCAATAGCAACTGTTTTTTGTGAAGTGGTTGTGTGTTCAGAAGGTACCAATAGCTCTTTTCCCATCTAAATAGAGGGGGCTTATAGGGGTGTGAAGAGTAGATCTGATTATTCCTGGTCTGCAGCTGCGAAAACAGTCTCAGGGGAGCCAAAGACTTGTTCAGTTTACTCAGGGAAGAATGAAAATAAATTCGTTTTAATGAGTTAGCTTGGTTAAATCCCTCAAATCAAGGAACTTGATAGACCTTGTTTGTTGTTTCTGTTTTGGTGGGAGCGTTTATATGGAAAGGAGCCTTGGTGGCACCATGGTTTAAGTGCTCTGCTGCTAACTGAAAAGCTGGCAGTTCAAACCCACCAGCTGCTAGAGGGAGGGCGCTGTAGCTGTCTGCTTCTTTATGGGAACCCCATGGTTCTATGGAGTCCCTCTGTCCTACAGGGTCATCATGAGTTGAGACCAACTCAGTGGCAGTGGATTTTGAGTTTTGGCTATATGGCTATTTTGCTGTAGTGAATATTTATTGCTTGATACCATAGTATTTGCAGTGTCTCTTTAAGACACACTATAACAACACTTAAGAGTCCCTGGCCTGACTTTAATGACAACCACCATTCTGATCATGGACCATCCCCTTCTGGTGGAGAATCCTGTCCTCATGAACTCAGATCTCTCGGCTCCTCTCCCCACACCCAGACCCCAAGGCTGAGCATCCCCTTCCCCACACTTGTCCTTGCCTCCAGCAGTGTGACTGTAATCATGAACCAGGGTGGGGGGCAGCAGGTGTAGCTGTCGTAATACCACTTGCGGTCAATCTCCCGGGGCAGGGTCTCATAGGCCACGTGTCGGATCAGTCGCTGAGAGAGGTTCAGGCCCTTTTCCTCCAACAGGGCTTTGCTGCAGAGCCTGCGGTTCCCCTGTAGGATGGCCTGGCGGAAGCTGTTGGACCTTTTGTTGCTCATCTGCACAGGACATGGGATGGAGGACAAGGTCAGAGCAGGGGGGTCTCACATTGCTTAGGCAAGGCCTCACCCACCTTTCTTTTTTTATATTCATCAATAGTTCTATAATAGCCCCTAAGAAGCCATTACCCACTAAACTCTTCATATGGGTCAGAGGTAGCTCTAAGAATACTCACAACTAGTCTGCCTATTAGGTGGTTGTTGTTAGTAACTGTTGCGTTGACCTTGACTCCTGGTGACTTTATGTACAACAGAACAAAATGTTATCTGGTCATGCGCTGTCTCCATGAGCACTGGCCTGTCTGAGCCCACTGCTGAGGCTACTATGTCAATCCATCCATTTAAGGTTTTCCTCATTTTCACTGACCCTCTCTTTCACCAAACAATGTCCTTCTCTGGCAACCATCAAGTTAAATAAGGTGAGATAATGAGTAGCCTCATTCCACCTGATGGGGAAACTGAGTTCCAAAGAGTTTCCGAGTCTGAATTCTTAATTGTCACTGTGCCTTCTTTCCACTCACCCACCCATCATCATTTACTGCACCAGATTCAGGGGACACAGTGGTGCTCATGGTAAGTAACTAACCAGCAGTTACGGTTTAGCGTGACAGCTGCTGTGGGAGCCCAGCCATGTCCTAAGGTGACCAAGGAGGGCTTCCTGGAGGCAATCCCTGAGTGAGACCTGAAGGGTGAGTACGAGTTAGCATCCTCAGGCACACTGGCTTGGAAAGAGGAGGTCAGCTCGTGGGTAGACAGGCAATTTGTAAAGAAAAGGAAAGACAGTGGATCAGAAGAGCTGGGCTCTAGTTCTGTGTCTTCCACTGCACAGCAGATAGCCTCGAGCAAGTTGCTTAACTTCTCTGGGTCTCAGTTTCCTTATCTTCTAAAGGGGAGGAAAGGATTGGTCTAAATGGGTTCAATCTTTTTTTTTAGTTTTAGCATCCTAATCTCCTTCCCACCAAAACTAGCACCCCACTCCATACTTCCTGAGCTTCACTGGTCAAGAAGGGTCAATAGATCTGTAGGCCCATAGCCCTGTTTCCTTCATTCCTGCCCCACCTGAGTCTGGAAGCACCCCCAGAGCCAAGCAGAGCCACAGAGGCTAATCCCTGGTCCCTCTTAGGCTGAAGCCCCAGGAGCTCTGGCCAAGTGGTCCAACTCCTCAGGACAGCTATGCCTAGATTTCAATGGGCTATGAACCTGAGTCTTGGGTTCTACAAGATGGGCATCGGGTCTGGAGACACAGACAAATGTGTAAGAAATGGTTTACTACACATTCGCACACACGATGATATTATTGATGTTTCCAGACCCTTCCACCAAGGTGTAGCATCATAGCTTCTAACTCTCCTCTAGGAAGAAGGGACATAAGGGGACGTGGGCAAGTGCCTGGGTGAAGGTTCCTTCAAAGACAGCTGTCCTCCCTTCCTGGACTGGCAGGTTCGCCTGGGTGCCCGGCTATGGAGAGACAGCTTCCCAAGATCCTGTGGAGTTGGCGCAGGGCCTTCCAAGCTTGATGCTCCTGTTTGTGAGTGAGCATGAGCACTCCCAGAGTGGAGAACAGTGACTTTACTAGGAGTCTGTGCAGGTGCAGGCTGCACCAGGTGACTGTCCAGGGGGGAAGGAGGGGCACCAAATGACACTACAAAATTTCTGTACAGTGTTTCAGCTGAATTTTTTTACTTTTAAAAAGCATCCCTGTAGTTAGTTATAGCAACAAAAACCGTTTTCATAAGCCCAGTCTACATTTATCTATACTCTGGTAGATGGCTAGGTCAGGTTGAGCTGCAAGGTTGGCAGTTCAAACCTACCAGCTGCTCCTCAGAAATCCTCTATTGGGTCACTATGAGTTGGAAGTGACTGGACGGCACTTACCAACAACAACATGTCTTGTTGTCCTGTGTGGCGATCTGGGCTAATGCACTGGACTTCAAAGTCAGTTGGAACTGCAAAGTCAGCAGTTCAAGCTCACCAGCTGCTCCTTGGAAACCCTATTCAGGGTCACTGAGTCAGGACCGACTCAAAGGCACTTAGCAACAACTGTGCTTGGTCAGAGCTGTCATTATTGTTCAATTACAATGAAGCTTTGCATCACGTGGTTTTGTCTGCACGTGCTACAAGCTCGTGCTGTTGTTTTCAGCGTTTCCAGTTGTTTTGTTTTTTTATAGTTATTGATTTTGTCAAATTTTCTGGTGCTTTAGCTATAATATTAAGGTAATTAGTATGTGTGAACCTACATCAATAAGGTTTTTAATGAAGTAGCAATTCGGGAAAAAACTTTAAAAGCTTCTGCTTAGTTACAAATAATGTAATTCACTGTAGAAGATTTTACAACAAATTACTTTGTTTTTAGCATTCATGCAGTCTAAGAAATAGTACATTAAAGAAATTTACAATTATATTTGTTATCGTTAAGTGCCGTTGAGTTGATTCCAACTCACAGTGACCCTGTATAAGGTCTCCAAGTCTTTAAATCTTCACAGGAGCAGAGTGCCTCATCTTTCTACCATAGAGTGGCTGGTGGGCTGGAACCATGGACCTTGTGGTTCACAGTCCAGTGTTTATCATATGGAGACACCTCGCTCCCACAACTATATTTATTCTATGGTTGAAACTGACAATAAACATGACTAAGGATTCTGTGTGGTCTGGTACAGGAGGTGGGGCGGGGGGTGAACCATGAGTTACTGCACTGGGTGACCCCACACCAGGAAGTACAACAGGTGAGAGATCCCTAGAACAAGAACCCAAAGCTATGCCTGTGGAAGACCACCACTCTGGAGTGCCTTTGAGGGACCCAGAACCCCTAGTGAGTACACCAACTAGCAAGACTCTCAGGACACCTGCCATATCCACCTGAGGGCTGGCCCTGCCTTCAGATGGAATCTGGGCTGCCTGGACACATCCTAAGAAGAGCCTGTCTCCCAGAGACCAGAAGAGGCTCTGTTGACTTCCGGCCTCCTTGGACCTCCTTGTCTTCCCAAACCCTCACCATCAGCACTCTAGAGCCTTCGTATGGAGATGGATCCTAGAGACACAGGTCTCCCAACCTCAGATCCCACAGAGCGGGCTGAGCGGCTGTTCCATGGGATATGGTGTGGCAATCACTAAAGCATTCCTGGGGTTACAAGCCAGAACAGACATCAGGCTAAACCTGAGGGACTAGACAGAGCTGGCAAAGTGGATGAAGCCAGACTGAGGTACAGGGATTTGCACTCCTGTCAGGGAGAAGGTAGCTGGAGAGGCTCTGGGTTCAGACCAGGTCAGATAGTGAGAGAGTCCATCTGCAATGCCCTCCCCACTGCTGGGTTCTAGCCTCCTCACCTTGACAATCTGGCTTAAAGCTCACCCCCTCTAACAGGCCTTCCCATCCCCTCTATAAATCTGGTTCTTTTTGATGACTCAGTTCTAGAAATGGAAGCAGTGGTTGGGGTCCCCATGTGCACGGTGAGACCCCAACAGGACCACATTGTCAAATTATTTTGCAGCCACCCTTACCACCCTCTCCCTCAACCTCCAGACACGTGCATATACAAGAGGCCCTGAGGGCTGGTGTTGGGGACAGACTCGTGCACTCACCATTCCCCCTGTATCCTTGATGCGCTCAGGACAGGGCCAAACACAGTGGTAATGATGGTTTCGGACATCATAAAGGTTAAAAGAGGACACAGATGTGTCAATAGTAGCAAAAGGGGATGTCATCTAATTTATTTGGTAGGTGGTATTATATCCACATTGTAAGTGTGGGCACTGAAGTGTGGAGAGGGTGAGAACTCCCCCAAGGACTCACAGTTAGTAAATCACAGAGTCAGGATTCAAATGCAGTTCTGCCCAACTCTGGAGCCTTGCTAACCCACAGGGAGCCTTTGTGCCAGTTAGATAAACAAGCCTCTTCTTCCAGGTGGATGTACCCCAAGCCCAGGCCAGAGGTCAGTCCCTACTCATTCTTCAGTCAGGCATCCTTGTACAGTACACAACCCACACATCCGTACATGACAACCCTGACCGCTCAGCTGTAACACTATTAAAAAACAAAGCGCTGAGCTAAGCACTATGGGAACTCTGGATAAGGGGGATTCATTCTGCCTCAGTGTGGAGGGGTTCATGAAGGATGCAAAGGAGTTTGCCTGATGTGAGAACATTAAAAGACAAGACCAACTTTCAAAGACTTCATCTTCTATAATCCTTATAACTCTGAAGCAGTATTCTGGGGCCTCACTTTACAAATAGGAGAGTCCAGGACTAGGACCCAGGACTGCTTGACTTCAGGTCCAGAACTTTCTGCGTTATCTAGGTTTCCCCCTCAGTGAGTCCTTTTTTGGTCCCCTTCTCCAGGGCCACCCTACTCACATAAGTCCAGGCAATGGCTGACCACCCCAGCGCAGAACTTTAACAGAGAAATTGCAACATTAGTCATAAGTGACCTCGCTGATCCCCACCTTGCCAGAAAAAGCAACTCATGGGTCCAGCCAAGACCTCACTCTGCTCTGAGTCTGAGCAGGACTGCTGAAAAGCTTGTGTTGGCTCCAACCCATACCTGGCTTTGGTGGCACTGGTAGCCCCACCCCCATGCATCCCAACTGTCCCCAACTCCTACACTCAGCTCTGTTTCCTTCCCACCCTCCAGGAGCTCTGCTTCTTGGGTCCACTGTGACCAGCAGCAGCAGCAACTCCACGAAGGGCTCCAACGGCTCCCTGCAACCACACTGACTCCCAGGCAAAGGCTACGCTTCGCCCAAGAGGGTATCCACACAACTGGAAAGCCTGGTCACGCCCATCAGGGTGTTCATGTGGCACAACGCTAGGTATTATGAGTGGTACCGGCTCCTTCCTTACACAGGCTTTTTGATTCTCAGGGCTCAGGGAGCTACACATGGCATTCCATTCTCAACACCTTCACATGTGGCCTAAAGAGGGGCAGCCAGTTCTCTGTTGCACCAATAGGGAAACCTCTGGTGTCTGTGAGTGAAGACTCTGGCCTGTAGTCATCCTGCTAGTTCATCCATGTTTATCAATGTCCCATCTACCCCCAGGGGGTAAAATGCTGCCTAGCTAGCTCCACTAAACACCACTCCCATTCTGCCACAGTCAGCCCCTATAATAGTATTGCAATAACTCCCCAATGAGGAGGAAGCCCCTCTCCAAGGTATCAGACCAATGGGCAGGATTCATGGGCCTCCTGGGTCCAGCTCCCCAGCAACCCAGGATCTATGTCAATAGGGACATCTATTCTGATTTCCCTCCATTCCCCATCACTTATTCTCCAAACCTTTCTCCTGTCAACAATACCCTCCCCATTCCCAGTCCTTCCTTTTGATGGGACTGACACGCCCAGCTCCAAATTAGGCCAATGGGGAGGAGAAAATCTCAAGTCTTGTGCAGGAGCTACCACACACAAGTCCCTCTTCAGTCATGGCGGGAACAGAGGGTGTGAGAGCTGGAACCACTGCAGTCATTTTGCTGCCATAGGGGGAAGGTCTGGAATTGTCAGGAGCTGCTTTGAGGACGGGCTGACTGCAGAAGGCAGAACCGAGAGGCAAAGAGACACTGCATAATTTGCTGAAGCCTGGACTTCTTCAGTGCTGTAAGTCACAGTTGTTCTTGTTGCGTGCCATTGAGTCAGTTCCAACTCAGCAATCCTGTATAGGGTTTCTGAGTAGCTTCTGGTGGGTTTGAACCACCAACCTTGTGGTTAGTGGTCCAATGCTTATCCTAAGCACCACACCAGAAGTCCATACCAGGGCTATGTTGTTGGTAAGTGCTGTTGAGTCTATTCTGACCCGTAGCAACCCTGTATAAGGTTTCCGAGGAGCAGCTGGTGAGCTTGAACTGCCGACCTTGCAGTTCAAATGGCTTTGCAGTCTGGCACGTTAACCCACAGCACCATGCCAGGACTCTTTTAGGTCCTTTTAATTGTCTGAAAAAGTCATCTGAACCCCTCCCAGTAGCAAGGGCCCCAGAGGCTCACCAGGTTGACAAAGTTCTGATAACAGATCTGCCCATCCGCTTGGCTGTCGGCGAGAGCCAGAAGCACCTCCCTCTTGTGTGGGTCCAGCTCGGAGCTGTGGCTCTCCAGAAGGCTCCGGAACTTGCCTGTGCTGATGAAGCCTGTGTTCCCAGGGTCAAACTGAGGGAGAAGAACAGAGAGCTGTGGGGTCAGCGGGGCACTACCCTCTTCTCAGCATAAATACCCCCATCTCCACTCCCATTCATTCCTTCCCCACCTGCCAACAGAGGCCCAGGCATTCCCCCAGAGAAACATCCAAATACAGCATGTATAACCACTTCAATCCTAGCTGCCTCTGGCCCAGCCATCACATATCAGATAAGGAAACCGAGGCTCAGAAGGGCTCTGTCCTTACTCCTGTCCTTGGACCAGCAGAAAGCAGGAATGCATGGAAGATGATGATGGAGGAAGATGAAGAATGTCCAGGGTGTGAAACAGGGAAGAGCATAGAAGAAGGAGGAGGACGTTTCCACAGATGGCCTTCCTGGAGTGGCAGGTAAAGAGGAACGGGGCTAGGTCAGAGGATTCCAGAGGGGAATGTTGGGGAACCCTGGGAACAAGAAGCACACCCTGCAAGCTCTTCCCATCTGGCTGAGGTCCTTCTGGCATCCCTCTGGGCACAGCCCACACCTGGGCACACAGAATTGTACAGTGCTCCCAAAGACATCATGTGCCTTGGTTCTCCTCAGCTTTGCACACGTGAGCCCTCTGCTTCAAATTCTCTTTCCTTCCGGGCTCCCTGGGAAACTCTTACTCAACGTTTCTGACGACTCAGATGTCTCTTTACCCAGGAAGGCTCTCTTCAGACACGGTCTGGCCCTGCTGCTCCTCCCCCTGCACCTTTTATATGTGTGATAAAATATATAAGGCAAAATATTTGCCACTTAAACCACTAAAAAAAAAAATTTTTTTTATTGACCATTTTTTAATGTACAATTGAACGCACAATTCAGTGACAACTAATTACATTGTACAACCATCTGTTTCCCATTTTTTTCATCAACTTTAACAGAAAACTCAGGACCCCTTAAGAAATTATGGCCCCTTTCCTTCTTCCCCCTGCCCTTGGTGAAAATGGAGAAAACTTTGGTTTGTTCTAGGTATTTCATTAAAGTGGGATCATACTACCTTTGTCCCATTGAGTCTGACTTGTTTCACTTAGCATAGTTTCAAAGTTCATACATGTTGTCGCATGTATCAGAACTTCATTTCTCTTTATGACGGAGTCCTATCCCACTGCATGGAACTACTGCAGTTTGTTTATCCCTCTATCTAGTGATGGGCCCCCTGCACTATGATCAAACTCCGGAGCATGATTTCTATACCGCCTACTGAAACCTCTCTCTTTGGTCTCCTCACTAGACTGCTGGTTCCTTGGATGTTGGCATCATATCTTATCCCTGGTCCTTAGAACGGAGCCTGGAATAATTAGCACACAGCAAAGATCTGCTGGTGAATACAGTGGGTGTTTGCACGGATACCCAAACCAAACCAGTTGGTGTTGGCTTGACTGATTCATGGCAAATCCATGTGTGTCAGAGTAGAACTATGTTCCACAGGGTTTTCATCCACTGATTTTGGGGAAGCGGATCATCAGGACTTTCTTCCAAGGTGCCTCTGGGTAGATTCAAACCTCCAACACTTCGGTTAGTAGCTGAGCACTTTCCTGTTTGTTCTACCCAGGGACTCCAGATGATCTACCAGATCCATTGTTGTTGAGTCAATTCCGACTCACAGTGACTCTGTAGGATGGAGCAGAACTGTCCTACTGGGTTTCCAGAAATAGAAACATTATTATCACTATTTTTTGCTTTTCATTAATTAATTTTTTTTTCTAATTTTGTGTTACTTTAATTTCCCATAGCACCTTAGCAATGTCAAAAATCAAAAGACAAATACAAGAATGCACTCATTTTAACAATTTATGGGAGAACAAGACAGTGGAGAGGGTAGAAGTGCAGTGAGGAACTCCGTCAGCAACAACACAGAATACCAGACCAAGCAGGCTCAGGGGATGGTCCCAGATAATCACATAGAAAGGAATATTAAGAAAGTTGGAAGGTTTACAGCCAGTGGAATTTGTAGCAGAAGCAAGAAATCCAGTGCTGTCTAATCCAAGGCACTCAGCTGCTCCTGGAGTGGCCATCTTGGGTGAGACTGAAGTGGGGAAGGATAAGAGCACCCATGGATGCCTGACAGAACCACAGAGTTAAAGGTGTAGACATTCTTTTTCTTTTTTTGTATCTGTTCATTAGTCTCTTGCTGACTGCGCACCTCCATTCTGGCGACTAGTGGGGGTGTCTCAGTGAGTGAACATGCCACCCCCACCCCTGGAGGGTTCTACTAGGCATGTGTACCAATCTCAAAATTTAAAGGGACAGTTTCCACTTAAAACCAAACAGCAATGCAAAATGGACACAGCCGGCCCTGAACTGTTTATCACTAAAGAAAAGGCCTGAAAAGGGGTTGTGGAGCAGGACAGGCAGACTAAAAAGGAAACAGGCCAAAAATTAAATCCTGAGTTACGTCATAACAACCAACAGTGTCATCTTGAAATTTCTCAGGAAGAGGAGTGAAAAGGGAAGCCCATCTCCTGATCACATCTACCTAGAGGCAATCAGAAAGCATAAAAAATACCCAAACACACATCCATCTAAGTATCAAGGCCACAGCTAACTACTGAATATGCCCAAATAGCCGAAGTAGATGAACATGTCCAGAAACAAGATGAAGTGACTGAGACAAATGAGCTGGAGGTAGAACTACACTCCATACTGGAAGGAGGGCAGGCTTTGGAAATGAGAACGAATTCAGAAAAACGATTATAAAATGTATCAAAACACTTTACAATGGAGTTAAGAAAAATAAGGAAGAAGTCAGGAAAGCACTACAAGAACAATCAAATAAAATAGACAGCATTGGAAACAGTTCAGAACCTACAAAAAGAGGTCCAAATGATTAATAATAGAATATCAGAAATGGACAAGGCATTGAAAGGGCAAAGGAGTAGAACTGAAGAGTTGAAAGCCAGAACTAGTGAGCTCGCAAGATAAATCTCTCCATACTACTAAAATAGAAGAACAAGCAGAAAAAAGGATAAAAAAATCTGAAGAAGGTCTAAGATTCATGTTGGACAACATGAAGAGGAATAACAAGAATTATTGGCAGTCCAGAACAGGAACAATCACACAAGTTCATAGAGGAGATAGTTGAAGATCTTCTGGAAGAAAATTTCCCTAACATCCTAAAAAGTGAAAAGATAAGCATTCAAGAAGCTCAATGGACCCCAGGAAGGATAGACCCTAAAAGAAAATCACCAAGACATATAATAATCAAGCTCTCCAAAATCAAAGATAAGGACAGAATCCTGAAGCAGTTAGGGAAAAGAGAAGAAAAGGAAAGCAAATCAGATTAAGCTCGGATCTCTCAACAGAAACCATGTAGGCAAGAAGGCAATGCGGAGACATATATAAAACCCTGAAAGAAAAAAAACTGCCAACCAAGAATCCTCTACCTAGCAAAGCTGTCAATCAAATACGATAGTGTAATCAAAACATTCCAGGACAAACAGAAGCTAAGGGATTTTGCCAAAGCTAACCCTGTGATGAAAAATATCTTAAAGGGAGTTCTGTGGACTGAGAACCAGCAAGAACAGAAAACAACCAGAGAATGACATACATGGCAGCATCACCCAGAACTCAATTTACAAATGGAAGAGTCGAGAACAGAATAAAACTATAAGAACAAATTCAAAGGATCTGTCTGGGAGGTCAGTCTATGATCAAACCAATTACAGTATAAAAGAAGGTAAACACAGAGGAACAGAGATCCAGGTGGTGAGAAGGTCAGGTAGATTACAGGATAAAATAGACTATCTTAAATGGAGGGGAAAGTTAATGGAATATAAGGTAACCACAATGGTGGGGTTGAGGTAGAGGTTTAAGGGGAGGTAGAGGAAGGTGATGGTAGTGCACAGGGTAAGGGAAGACACATCACAGTTCAGGTGTTGGGGAGGGCAATACAAGATGGGGGAGGAGGTGGAAGAACAAGGTAGATAGGGGAACACTGAGACAGGTTTGCATGGTCTAAGTGGAACAGAGGTAAACAGTTATGCATGCTCAACCTTGGAACAACAGGGCTCTGTGGTACAGAGATCTAGGCATAGTTTGAAGAGGAGAAATAATATTAAGATGCTTAACTGTCTTATGAATATTGGTTTCCCTTGCCTACTATTGTAAAATAGACACTTGATGGGGATAGAAAGGAATGTCAGGAAACATGACTATAGAAAAACTGTAAGTCCATCTTCAGCCTATAACTAATGGAATACCTAACAGAGGTTCTAGAACTTGCCCAGTGAAATAGGCCTCTTGCCTATTCTTTAGATGGAATCCTGAATCCCATCCAGAATCTTCTGAGGTGGGACATTCCCACTAGCAAGGACGAGCAGACCAGCTAAAGCGACAGAAGACACACCTTCAAAGAAAGATCATCAGGAAAAACTCAAAACAAAAATGTCATTATAACTGGCTACTACAAGAATAAGCAAGCTGTTCACTGGGAAGCCATCAAGGCAAGCTATCAAGTTCCTTCGAGACAAATCTCTCTCTAAGATTTAAACTCAATGGGAACACATAAACAGGCATGTAAGCTTGCTGGCGACCACATTGGTCTACTGGTGAGTGGAAGAGGAGGAAAGGCAACAATGAAGAAATGGGCTGAGTTAAACCACGTTCCATAGACTCCCCTTGACCTGGAGATGAGAGAGAGAAGAGGAAGGGCTGGTTGGTCCAAAGGGTGGTGAGACTTGGGGACACCTGAGCCCATGGACAAGGACATAGTCACAGAGGGCTAGAGCTGAGAGTGAAGCATCCAGTTGATATGAAGTGAGGGGAGATGCATAAGAATACCCAAACTTGTAGATAGTACCTATTTGACCTAGCCTCAATGGCTTGATAATCATAACTCGACTAAAGGAAATTACAAATAAACAAACAAATAATTTTTGTTAAAGGAAACATGGGTAAATTGACAAACTTGACCTATACTCATGGAGGTAGTACCTCAAAAAACCAGCAGAGAGGGAAGGAGTCTTCATACCAAGTATCAGCACTATCCCT